TTAGTCTGGCTTAACCTACATGCCAAGGAATGAGGTGCTTGGGAGTCCCACAAATCTATAAGTTACTCTTGGAGCTGGGGGGGGGGGTGGCTGGGCTTGTTATTGCTGCTAACTTAATGCTGCTAGATAGGGGTCTTTCATACATAAATGACCCCAAAAACTCTACCAGGGAACTCCTACAACTCATAAACACCTTCAGTAACGTAGCAGGATACAAGATTAACTAAAAAAAATCAGTAACCCTCATATATACAGATAATAAAATGGCTGAGAAAAAAAAATCAGAGAAACATCACCCTTCACAATAGCCACAAATAACATAAAATATTTTGGGGTAACTTTAACCAAACAAGTGAAAGACCTGTATATCAAGAACATTAAATCTTTGAAGAAAGAAATTGAAGACACCAGAAAATGGAAAGATCTCCCTTGGTCTTGGGTAGTTACAATAAACATAGTAAAAATGACAATCTTACCAAAAGCAGATTCAGCGGCATTCCCATCAAAATCCCAGCAAAATTCTTAACAGACCTTAAAAGAACAATACTGAACTTCATATGGAAAAGCAAAAAAAAAAAAAAAAATCAGGGATAGCCAAAACAATCTTGTACAATAAAGGAACTTCTGGAGGCATCACCAGTCCTGACTTCAAACTCTACTATAGAACTACAGTAATGAAAACAGCCTGGTATTGGCATAAAAAGAAGCAGGAGGTTTCAATGGAATCAAATCGAAGACTCAGAAATTAATCCACACACCTACGAACAGCTGATTTTTGACAAAGAAGCAAAAAATCTAAAATTGAAAAAAGAAAGCACATTCAACAAATGATAGTTGTATAATTGGATATCAACACGTAGAAGAAGGCAAATAGATCCATATCTATCACCATGTACAAAACTCAAGTCCAAATGAATCAATGACCTCAATGTAAAACCAACCACACTGAACCTCAAAGAAGATTAAATAGGAATAACACTTGAATTCATTGGCACAGGAGGCCACTTCCTAAATATAACCCCAGTAGCACAGACACTGAGAACATCAATTAATAAATGGGACTTTCTGAAACTGAGAAGCTTCTGTAAAGCATAGAATATGGTCAACAGGATAAAATGACAGCTTATAGAATGGGAAAAGATCTTTACTAACCCCAATTCAGACAGAGGTCTGATCTCCAAAATATACAAAGAACTTAAGAAATTTGACACCAAAAGAACAAATAATCCAATAAAAAATGGGGTAAAGACTTAAACAGAGAACTCTCAACAGAGGAATCTCAAATGGCTGAAAGACACTTATCTAAATGCTCAACATCCTTAGTTATCAGAGAAATGAAAATCAAAACAACTCTTATTTCATCTTACACCTGTAAGAATAGCCAAGATCAAATACACTGATGACAACTTATCCTGGAGATGAGGTGGGGTAAGGGGAACACTCCTCCATTGCTGGTGGGAGTGTGAAGTTGTATAGCCGCTTTGGAAACTGGTATGGTGATTTCTCAGAAAACCAGAAAAGAATCTACCTCAAGACCCAATAATACCACTTTTGGGTAAATATCCAAAGGTTGCTCAATCATACCCCAAGAATATGTGCTCAACTATGTTTATAGCAGCATTATTTGTAATAGCCAGAACCAGGAAACAGCCTAGATGCTCCTCAACTGAAGAACAAGAAAAAAAAGTTGTGCATTTACATGATGGAGTACTAGTATGTGGTAAAAAATAATGATATCTTGAAATTTACAGAGAAATGGGTGGATCTGAAAAAAAAAGCATATTGAGTGAGGCAACCCAGATGCAGAAATACAAATATAATAAATACTCACTCATAAATGGATTTTAGACACAAAGCAAGAAAAAAAAAAACAGCCTCCAATCCACAACCCCAAGAACCTAGACAGTAAAGAGAACCCTAAGAGAAGCATACATGGATCTACACAGGAAGGAGAAAAAGACAAGATGTCCTGAGTAAATTGGGAACATGGGGGTTCACAGGAGAGTCTAGAAGCAGAGATGAGAGGCAAGGAGGGAATCAGAGAAAAATGTATAGCTCAATAAAAACAATTTAAAAGAGGAAACAGTATCACACTCACATGGGATGATCATGTGATCAAGTTCATACTTCACTAGGGATGCCCATGTGGCAGCAATATTGGATTCTGCTCCTGAGAGGTCCTAAATCCAAAAAGGATTGTAGTGCTCCCTTTACATAAAGGATCCAAAACAAGATATCAGCCTTAAAAGAGGACACACACACACAAACACACACACATCACATGTACATGGAATTATTTTCAAGGTTTTTTTTTTAAATATTGTTTCCTGATTGGAAAATGTATCAGAATTTACCTGTTCCCATTTTCAGGATCCCCCCTCTGCCCAATACCGAAAGCCTATGAACCATCCCACAAATCTCAGGTTTTTCCAGCCTGCAGCCAAGCGGTTGCACAAAACCGTTTCCAAATACAAACATTTTAGCTAGTTGGGAAAGAATTTCTGAAAGAAACTCATTTAAATCATTAAATCATTTCTTTCTAAATGATAAAATTATTAAAATATTTTAAGCTCTAAGGGAATTTTATAAAATCTGATGTGCTTCCATCTTCTAACTTATGAGTGGAGAGAGTGAGTGGTAGGGAGCTCACACTGTCCCAGCGAGGAGCAGGACATCATATGTGCTGTACTGTACTTATCCTCCGTGGATGCGTTCATTGTCCTTCAAGCATAAGGAATAATATAATAAGTTATAGAAGAGGAAACAGGACCCTTAGGTTGTGGGCACTTTGCAGGGCACTGAACATGAGCCCAGACTCAGAGCTCTCCATGAGGCCCGTCACACACCTCTCCACTGATGCTGGTTGATAGAGAGATGGAAGAAGAAGAAAGCTGTATTGCTTGGATTGATCCCCACGTGAATATGGGGGTTGCTGGTACCGAATTTAAACTGTCTGGAAGTTGGCATCAGCTGTGTTCATGTAGCTTTTTGTTTGGAATCTTCTCACTGGTACTGTTACTAGAGATGCCCCAATTCTGCTGATTGAATCCTATTCCACTAATGGCAAGTCTAAAACATTTTCCTCTGCATGGAAAGGAATATAATTTCTCTATCAGTGAGGGAGACTCCTGTAAAAAAATATTGTAAGAAAAAAAAGGAAGAAAAAGAAAAAAACAGATTAACAAGGAGAAATAAGCAGAATTCTTAACATTCGAACACCAGCAGAAAGCTCAAAGCAGTGGCTTAGGACTCTGGCTTAGATAGCTAGCACTTGCAACAAAGAACAATAGCATTTAGAGAGGAGACTAAGTGGGGAGGTGATCTTGAATTTTTTTTTATTGGCAGCAATTTAGGGGAAGGTAAATACATGGCAGATAAAGATTTGTTCATTAAGTAATGTTCCTAATGCTGATGAGGACCTAAAGCTGTCCTCAGTGTTTAGCCTTTGTTGTCTGTAGACTAAAGTTCTAAGAAAAAAGATGCATTGGTGTTCCAGAGTTGACAGACCAGCAGACTTTAAAACTTCACAATGGAGAGATGGGGTGTCGCAGATGAATAGCCCAAAGGATCATTTCTCACCTTCAATAGCCATTTACCACCAAGCCCTCTCCTGACCCATGTTTATGTCTACTAGGTAAGACATTAGGAGTGATACAACTGAAAGCTTCTGCCCACCCAACTCTAGGAAGGTCGTCACACAGCATCTGAAACCCATGGAAGAGATTGCTCTACTTTGCTGTAACCTTCCAATCTGACATCCCAAATTAAATTATGACTTTATTTTATTCTGTGATTATAAATGTTCAACTAACCTGTTCCACAGTGGAACATGTCATTCAGGGCAACTTGAATATGTCTCCCAAACTATGGCCATATTTGGCTGGGAATAAATTCAGTTCCTGTTGACTTTCCCTTGGGAGACACCAGTGAATAAAAGCCCATTTTCGTTAGATAGGGTGACAAGGACAGACTCCATAGAAATGATCCCCCCGAAGTCTACATTTGTGAATCAACTAATTTGATCGAGGTTACTTAGAGCCACATGGGTGAGGGACGACCAGCAGGAACATGGGCGGCACACAGAAGACAACAGCACCAAAGAAGTTGCTGTCCCCAACACTCCTCAGACCTCTTGGCCCCAGCAACCTTTCCTTGCTTGTATCTCTTCTAAGAGGCGGGCCAGTAGGGATTGAATGTGAATGTGTCTGATCTTGTGACGATTGTGGGTGAGTAAGCACAGCTGTTCCCATTTCAAGACACCAATGGCCACGTCATGCCCTCAAGATAGACTTCCACAACGTCTCTTTGTAGCAAAGTCTGTACTGTTTTGTTGACTTCTCCCTGATAGTGGCAAGATACAGTCTTTGTAACTAGCTGCCTGGGTTTAAGCAAACTGAGGAAATCAGGAAGCTCCCCTGCATCTGTCCCTCATCTTCAGTTCAGAAGTCTTTGTATTTTGAGCAGACACATTTTCTGGTGCCCCTACATCTCCATGGCCTCTTCAGCCTCATCACTCTCCTTATCTCTACCTCTCTCTGCCTCCCTCACACTGGCCTAGTTCATCTCTGATTTTGTGTTTGAGGCTCCTGTGACCTGCTCTGTCTTTTGTGCATTCTGACCTGATCCTCTTCTTTCTGCTTTTGGGGAGTTCAAACTTCCACTGTTTAACTTAACACAGCACCCCCAAACTCATCAACCGGTGTGGTTTTCTTTTACCACTGTCTAAACTTGTCTTACTCCTTTCATTACTTTCTGATTTAGTTCCAAATTGTAAAACTGTTCGTGTTATTTATTGTGAACTTTCCAGAAACGATGGGCTGGCGATAGAAGGGTAGAGGGATGAGAGATTGAAAGAATGAGGAAGTGGGAGAACAGAAAGAGAGGGCAGTGACCCCTCGAGGCCACTGGAGGGCTCGGCTCCACCCAGCCCGCGCAGCCCCGCCTCGGAACCCGAGGGCAGCGGTCACAGTTTCCCGCTGAAGGGAGGAAGAGTTTCGCGAGAGCACACAGGAAAGGCCGGGCGCCGAGCGGCGGGTAGCGGTGAGTTCGGGGAGCGGGTGCGGGCCGCTGGGTGTGTGTGACCTGGGTGTGGGGTGCAGTCGCGGGCGGCTGGGTTGAGCGGGGCGTCCCGGGAATCCGCCTGGCGCCCGGGGATCGGCCGCGCAGTTGCTGGCTGCGGCACGGTGGGAGAAGGGGGCTGGGCCGGGCCGGCGTGGCGCGCACGCCTCTGGTCCCTGTGGGTCAGGTGTGCTGGTTCGAGTCCCAGAGCTGTCCCTAATCTGTGGCCCCCTCAGTCACCACCCCCTTGGGCAGTGGGGTCCTCCGGAACAGAAACGGAACCAGTAGTATTTGATGGGCGGGTCTGTTCATTCATTCCGTTTTCTAGGTTCTGCTGATGGAGATGGCTAGAACCCCCCAAGGAGCTCTGCTTCAGTGAGAAAATCCTCACCTTCCCGGTCAGGAGAGGGGCCACAGTTAGAATTTGGGAGCTTATGCGGTTGGGGACAACCCGCTTTAAAGGGAAATATATGCTGATTTAAACATGGAATTGAGAGTTTTTAACTGACGCTAATGAGAATGAACATTCTGGCTGCTGAGAAGGGAATATACACTGTTAATGTCGTACATATTTGTGAAGACAGATTAGATATGGAAACATGTACAGATTTTGTCACAACCCCATCACAGCTGATTTCACAGCCAAATTAAGTAATCAGGGCAGACGGTGTTTCTTCGTTTTGCTAGTGAAGAAGTTAATTGACTTACCCAGGGTCCAACTACCTGTGAGTGACAACGCTGGGATTTAGTTCAGGCAGCTGGACCAGTCCTCTTTGCACACTAGGCCGCCTGCGTATTCCCCGTCCTTCAGTGACAGATGAATCATTTATGACAAAAAAGGGAGTTGCTGGGGAAGGGGTGGCTTGTAAAGACCATCCTCTCAGAGTGCCCTCGACTGACATGGTCTTTCCATGCTACCCTTCACTTGGATGCCCTTAGCAACCCGCATACTTTGCTTTCACAGACGTGAATTCCAGTTCTGTAGCTTGTGTCCAATCTCTCCTGTTTCCAAACAGCCAAGTCCAGACATCTGTGTGGGTTCCCTTGAGAGTGCCCGGCAGGTGTAACAGTCTAGAGACTCCTTAGCCGCACACTGTTTTCCCACAAACCTGCAATATCAATCAAAGGCTTGAAATCTCATTCTGGTCCATTGCCTAAGCACAAACCCTGGCTTGTTTCCTCATCTCGCACCTCCTGCAATCAGTTGGTCACCAAGTGCTGCCAGATCGCGACCTCCCTTGAGACAAGAGGACTCTTGTTCCTCCCTTTAGTTGACCAGACATTATGGCAGCCTCTCCCCCCAGCCCTCCCTCCACTTCAGCTTTACCTTTCAGGTTCTCACAGTCTTTTTATTCTGCAGCTCAGATATGATTATGTCCTTTATCTGCTAAAAATCTCAAGTTTTTTTTCTTTCTGTTGTCTTCAGCATAATGTCCAAAGCCCTTAGTGTGGACTCAGTCTTTTCATATCTTCCCTCCACTCCCATCTTTTATCTTTAAACTATTGTTTTTCGAAGTCTGGTGTGTTTATCACCTACATTAAATTATGATAGTAATTGCTAACGAACTAAATATGAGATGATACTCAGTTCTGGAACAAAGGGGTTTGGGGGAAGGGAGGTAATAACTAAGAATACACAATTCCAGCATATTTTCTGCTTTCTAATAAGGTTTAGTAAGGACCCTAAAGACTGAGAACCAGTGTTCTAGAAGCTATCCTGTACTTACACTCTATTGATGGTGCTTAGGCGTGTTAATCTCCAACATAGTACACTGGCAGTCGAGGAAACAGCAGAAGCAGGAAGTTGTTGCTCTTCTAACCTGAAGCGGACTTCCTGTATAAGGCCCTCATCTTATGCCTGCAGGAAATGATCACCTTTATTTCTTAAGATGAAAAGCCACGCGAGGACCTGAACTAACAGACCTGTTGTCATGGCACCTTGTTCTGTCATGTTTCTGTACAACTTGCTACTCTTCATCAAATTTAACATACATAGGGTTTTATTTCTGAAGGTTCGTTGTCAGGTAAAACTCATCACATAGATTTATGTCCTTTTTGTTTGTTTGTTACTATGTTTTGTTATAGGAGTCTTAGTCATGGGTGAGAAGAGAAATTACTTCCTCAGTCTACTGCCTTTCTATGTTTTTCAAAACATAATTTGATACATATATATGTGTATGTATTCATTTTGTATGTAGCCTTTACCCCACGCACACAAATATATTTATGGTCTTTGTATACTTTGCTCAGGTAGCTCTAACTGGGGTGGCTTAAATAACAAAAGTTTATTTCTCACAATGTGCAAAGTAGAAGTATGACTCCAAGATGGTTGCCCTGGTGTGGTACACTCTTCTTAGTTTGCAGGTGGCTGTCTTGTGGCTGTGTCTTCATAGGGAGGGTTGTGGATGGGATGTGACATCTGGCTGGTGTCTCTTCTTAGAGAGGTGCTAATCCTATTATGAGGGCAACACCCTTATTGCCCCATTATTTCTACATCCTAATGCCATTTCACTTGGAATTAGGAGATTCACTTAGAAGTTCAGAGACACAGATTCTCAGGCCTTAGCGTCTTCCTAACTCTTTCCCTCTGACTCCTGATCCGTAGGGCTCTGTCTGGCCCTGCAGGTCCATCCCAGTTAGGCCCGTGTTTGTGGACTCCTGATCCGTAGGGCTCTGTCTGGCCCTGCAGGTCCATCCCAGTTAGGCCAGTGTTTGTGGACTCCTGATTTGTAGGGCTCTGTCTGGCCCTGCAGGTCCATCCCAGTTAGGCCCGTGTTTGTGGACTCCTGATCCGTAGGGCTCTGTCTGGCCCTGCAGATCATTCCCAGTTAGGCCCGTGTTTGTGGACTCCTGATCCGTAGGGCTCTGTCTGGCCCTGCAGGTCTATCCCAGTTAGGCCCGTGTTTGTGGACTCCTGATTTGTAGGGCTCTGTCTGGCCCTGCAGGTCCATCCCACTTAGGCCAGTGTTTGTGGACTTCTGTCCTCATCTCCCAACCTTTATCTTACTGTGTTGCAACTTAGCTCATGTGGTTGTACTGCACTTAGGGATTTAACAATTATGAGCATTTGAGAGTGGGACTTAACCCTTCCCTGCCCTTGCGCTTAACACAGAGCAGATGTTGTCTCTTAAAGACCTCGTCAATGTATAAGTGTTTAGGGCCTGATGGGGAGAGGTCAGTGATTACATGGTCCTTTGGGACTTTGTGTGCACTAGCCTGGATCGCTTCATTGATGTCTGCAATGTGGATGTTTCTTCCTATGGGAGGGATTTTAACCAAGGGAGAAAATATTTAAAGGGAGGAATATTTTCATCTGTTTAGATAATTTTTTATTTTAGAAAACTTAGCATTGCATGTACGTTGCAATTTTAAGATATCATTTACCATCCTACAACTTAGAGGAAATTTTGTAAAATTTCTGCTTTTGTTTATTGGGATTTTGATTGGTGGAACTGTTTGAACATAATTGGGATAACGCTGGTTATAGATTATCTTTTACCGTGCTATGTTTACTTACTTTGTATTTTGAGTTGCTTTTTTGTACATTTCTGAAAATTCTCCATTTAAGAAGCTGAATTGTTATATGACTCACTCACTTGATAGATGTTTCTAGAATACCCATCATGTGCCAGATCTTACTTGGTGTGGAGGTTCTAGCAGTGACCAAAGCCCTACATTCTCAGGGTTTACTTTAGTGGATAAGCTAGGTAACATATTGATAAATATAAATATCATCAAATGATGCCATATAAAAACAGAATAAATATATTGAGCCATTTTGTTTTTCCGTATAGAGCTAATTTACCTTCCTTACAGGAGTAGGCAAGAATACCTTTCTTGTATTTTGTCATCGGTGAAATCAGTGAATGATAATTTAAAACTGAATTTTATATGGGAACAATAATAGCTCTTTGTAATTTACATGTCTTTGATTAGTAAGATGAGCATAAAAAACTTAGCCATGTGCATTGAGCTTTGTATGCATGTTCTGTGCTCATTTTCATATCAAAGACCTGGTGTTTTCTTCTGTTTTGAATAAGCTGTTGCTGGTATTTTGAATTCCTCGTATGTGATGGACAAATACTCAACAGTGGTGTAGTGGAACAGTGAAGACAGACATCAGAAGAAGCCTGGAAATCTTCTCCACTTAACTCCCTCCTCCTTCCTTCTGATATGGATAGGGAAAGGTGATTGGATAAGGAAGGAGGAGAGTGGAGATAGAAATACGTGAATAAAGAAGGAAGTGAAGATTGTGAGTGGATGAGAGATGTTGATGATGTTACTAGACAGGGAAAGAGGAGAAGAACCACAGCAGAAGTGGATAAGAGAAAACGAAAGGAAAAGGGGAGGGGAGACCATAGAGGAATGACTACTAGATGCTCCATGCATATCTTGGGTAATTTGTTTTCCTTTTCCCGCCTATCAAATGTGTAGGAGAAGATGACTGCATTCTTTAGAACACTTCGAAATCACTGGAAGAAAACTACAGCTGGGCTCTGCTTTCTGACGTGGGGAGGTCACTGGCTCTATGGAAAGCACTGGTAAATATTGACAGCCCCACCCCTTCTGTATTCCACTATAGAATGATTCAAAGGGCCTGTGTTGCAATTTTGTTCAGCTGCATGTCTTTATAAAATATGGTAGCTAAACAAAGTTATTCAAATAAAAAGGCAAAAGCTTCTTGTAAGCTGTCCTATAGAAGTAAGCATATGAAACTGTATAGTTAATTATAGCTGTAACACTTACACATCAATGCATGTGCTTAGTGAGGTTGGAAAGAAAGCAGTTTTTATTCACTTTCTTTGTTGAAGAGATCAGGACCCATTCTGGACAGAATAAAGTCCTCTCCCAAGTAAGTAGTAAATTGAAATTGTAATTCATCTATCTCCTTTGTGTTTGAATAAGGAATTCAGTGTATCATGTGTTATATCAGCCTTCAGACATAGCAGGAGAAGAAAGTGCCAGATTTTCTCTTCTGGCTTTGTATGGTAAGTTTACATAAGCAGGGTTTTTTTTTTGTTGTTGTTGTTGTATAAAAATCATAAAATCTTAAGAAATCAACCTAATTGTAGTCTTATAATTATGTAACCAAGTGCTACGTATATGTATACCAACACAGAAATCCAGATATATTCCATATTGCTTTGCTGACAGGGAAGAGGTAGGAATTGTATTGGAAAAGAGATCCACACTTCTAATGAGTGTTCAGTTTACTGCTGACAAAAAACTTGACACTGTAGTGTGTGGTCTGATAATCTGCAGCGGAGTGGTTCTTTCCTTGCAAGTACTCGCAGAGCTAGGCACCAAGCTCTCTTAGCTAGTATCTGCACAGCTTAGCATCTGTAAGGTAAGGAAAGAGTTAGCAGGCCTTTCTTCCAGTTTCTAACCTGGGCCTCAGGGGAATCTGTACAGACTGCAGGGCCTCTAAGCACACTGATGCTGGCTCACTGGGGGTGCCCCGTCCCCACCAGGTGAAGATCTGGAGAGCTCACTGTGTCTTCAGAGGTCCTCTGATACTCCCTGAAGTCTTCATTGTTTTAAAAGACCCTTTGGTTCTCCAGCATGAAGAGGCCTCACTCTGAAGGAGGTTTGAAACAGCTTGACTGAAGGCCTTAAGTGCTCCTTCCCCACCCTTGAAATCCAAGGTTACAGGCACAGATGCAGCTCTAGGGTCTCCCTCTTCTCTTTTTCACACTTCTTCTGAATACTTTGATCCTTCGTGAGCAAATGTGCAGGTCAGTGTTGTTGAGTATACTCATGTTGTTATGCAAAAGATTTTTTGGACTCCTTTGTTTATGCAAAACTGAAACTACTCATTGAGCTCTCCCTGTTTTCTTTCCTTCATTCCTCGAAGCCACCAGCCCGTTTGTTTTTCCATGAGTTTGACTGATATGAGACATGCAGTGTAGGCAGGATCATACAGTGTTTGCTCTTTTGTGACTGACTGTCTTATTGCACTTCTACACTGTCCTTAATATTCATCCACATCATAGGATGTCAGGTTTTTTTTCAAAGGTTGAGTAATTACTGTTTCTCTGCACGTGTACGTCATACTTTACTCATTTCTCAGTGGAGATTGGGTTACTTCTGTCTGCTGGCCATTGTGAATAACGTTGCAGTGACCTTGGGAGAGCAAATACCTCTTAGATTCTTTTTACAGTTCCTTTAGAGACATAACCTAGAAGAATGGCTGCTGGATCATATGTTAAGAATTGCTATTTTTGTTTTTTTTAAGGAGCCTTCAAAATGTTTTTGGTAACATCTTTACAGTACTACCATAGTGCAAAATAGTTGCAGTTTCTCTACATCTGCATTAACTTATGTTTGGTTGTTATGTGTAGTAATATGGGCGGCAGGGCTGCGTCCCCAGCTCCCCAGCCGCCCGCACGGCTAGTTTTACCCGAAATAACAACACACAAACTGTGTTCTTTTAGACACTGCTTGGCCCTTTAGCTCTAGCCCTTACAGGCTAATTCTCATATCCCGATCAACCCATCTCTAATAATCTGTGAGCACCGGTCTTACCGGGAAAGGTTCAGCATGTCTACCCTGGCGGCTTGCTTCATCGCGTGCCTCTGCCTGGGAGAGCGGAGCATGGCATCTCTCTGAGGCGTCTGCTCCCGAGAGGAGAGCTGTGGAGTCTGAGCTCACTTCCTCTTCCTCCCAGCATTCTGTTCTGTTTACTCCACCCACCTATGTTCTAAGCTATGAGCCCAAGCAGTTTCTTTATTACTTAGCCAATGAAATCAACAGATTGATATATGACACTCCCACATCAGTGATGGGTTTTGTGGTGTTGATTTTCATTTTTCTAAAAATATAGATTTTTTTCACATACTTTTTGGCCTCTTATATTTCATATTCGGAGAAAAATTTGCAAAGCTCTTTGCCCAGTTCTTAATTGAACTTTGTTGTTGAATTGTATGAATTCTTTATATATTCTAGATATTAACCCCTTATGAAATACATCATTCACAGTTTTTTTTTTCTCATTGTATATGTTGGCCTTTCAATTTGTTGTTGTGTCTTAGGGTGTCCAGAAGCTTTTAAAGTTCATGTCCCATTGTCTGTCTTTGTTCTTGTTGCCCGTGCTTTGGGTAGATTTGTGTATGGTGAATGTCTCTGCATATATATGTTGGTCAGAAGTCAGTGTTGGATGTTTTCCTTAATTGCCCCCCACATTATTTTTGGGGACCGTTACTCATCAGCCCCAGGGCTCATTGACTGGGTCACACTAGCTGGCCGGCAGGTTCTTGTTATCCCTGTGTCTGCTTGTCAGTGCTAGGATTGCAGCTGTCACACTGGTGTTTCACGTGAGTGCACGGGTTCCATATTTAGGTCCTCATGCGTTCAGGGCATGCACATTACCACCCTAGCCATCTCCTCAGCCCTCGCCTGAGCTTTTACTCTCACATCCAAGGATTTATTGTCAAATCCAATGGCACTAAGCTTTCCCCCATGTTTGCTTCTAGGAGCTGTATAGTTTTAGGTCACGTTTAGGCTGTTGTGTTTAATTGTGTATATGGTATAATACTAAGGTACAGCCTTACTGTTTGCATGTAGATATCAAGCTGTCACTATTTATAGAAAAGTATTCTTTCTCTGCCGTTTGGTCTTGGGACTTTTGTAGAAGATATTTTGACCATTTACAATGGAGGTTTACCTCTAGGTTTTCTGGTCCATGTACATGTATATACATTTGTATTCCAGAACCACATTTTGATTATTATAGACTTTCAAGAAATAGTGAAATTATTAAGCGAGAAGCTTCCAACTTTGTTATTTTGCTAGATTATTTTGGCCATTCAGGCTCTTTGAGATTTCATATCAGTTCTGATGTGGCATTCTCCTATTTCTACAGAAAATACCATTGGGATCTTGACAGGGATTGCATGAACTTGGTAGACTGCTTTGTACAGTGGCCATTTTAACAGCGTTGTCTTCCAATCCTTGAGCACATGGCGTCTTCCTGTCTGTTTTGTGGTTTTTATGGATCACATCTGTCTCACTTACCTAAATTTATTCATAAATATTTATGTTTTTTGGTCGTCTTACATGATTGATTTCTTAGTTTCCTTATATATTGTTCATTCTGTGTATGGAAGTACAGCTTGTTTTGTTAATTCTTTTTCTGTCTGACAGCTTTGCTGAAGTTGTTTTATGGTTCTAACACTTCTGTGTTGTTTATGTATAACTATTCTAGTGTTCTATATAAAAGATCATGTCATCTGTAAAAAGACAATTTTCTTCTTCCTTTCCTGTTTAGATGCTTTTTATTTCTTCCTCCTTTTTGTTCCCCTTCTTTTCTTTCTCCGCCAACCCTCAGTTCCATGGAGTCTTTCTTTGTAGCCCAGGCTGGCCATGGCCTTAGTACTTCCTGTCTCAAGTGCTGGAATTGTAGGTATGTGCCGCCCGCTAGCACTTGTAATTTATTCTTCTTCCACACTTGCTCTGGCTCATTCCTTTTACTGTACTTCTTGGCTTTGCAGTTTCTCATGACCTTTCTTACCACAGGGAGACACATTTCCCCATTGTCTCTGCCTTCCCAACTGCTTCTCCTTCCTCTCTCTTTCTCCCCTTGCTACTCCCCTTCTCGTTCTCTGTGACCCCTTCCTTTAGGGGGAGGGAGTTCTCTGCCCTAGGCTCTCTTCTCATGTCATGCCCTCTCCTGAATGATCTCACCTGCCCATACTGTCTTCTGTTCCATCTCTAGATGTCCCGTTATAAGATTTTGTTTGTCTTTATAAAGACGTCTTCTGAGCTCCACACCTAAATGTGTATTCAAGTGCTGTGTTGCCTTGAATGAGAGTCCCCGTTATCTGTGGCATCTGAGCACGCAGTCCCCAGTTAGTGGTGCTGTTGTGGCCCTGCTAGAGGAACTGTCTCAATAGGAGTGGCTTTCGATGTCCCACTCTTCCCAGTTTGCACTCTTTGCTTCCTGTTTGTGGGTCAGGGTGTGAGTCCTCAGTGTCCTCCTCCTGCCACCACATCTTTGCTCTGCTGTCATGGACTCTCAGTCTCTGGAACCATAGCTAAAATGAACTCGTCTTCTCTAAGTTGCTTTGGCCTGGTGTTTTACCACAGCAGTAGAAAAGGAACCAATACATGTGCTTATCTTCGGCTGCTTCACAGGTATTTCTGGCCCAGCATTCTAAAAAGCCCCTTGCCAAACCTGCTCCTCAGTTATTGGTATTACTCACTATCATTTTATTTCCCTAGATATTGGAACATCCTCTGTTCCTCCTTATCCTCGTTTCTCATATCCTGTGCATAGATTGTAAAGGATTTTAGAGTTTGCTAATGTGTTCTGTTTCTTTTGTCTGTCCTCGCTGTCTCTGTCTTCACCCACACTGCCCTCCTTTATTGAGTAAATTCTAATTAGCCCCCAGCTTTCTGACTGCTTCTGGTTTGCACACCATTGCTATGCTGCTGTTTTGCAAGTGAAGACTGCTATTGCGTTTAGACTCAAATTCCGAAGTCTTAACAAGCTGTGCAGAAACTTGGCCTCACCTGAATACATCCGGGACCTTGTTGTACTCTA